ATTTCACCAAGTGGTGTGAAGCGTTTGCAACACCCGATCAAAAAACCAGCACAGTTGCGCCACTCCTAGTCAGTCGCATTTTCTCCAGGTTTGGCCCCCCAGCAGTCTTGCATTCAGACCAAGGCAGAAATTTTGAGAGCACGCTGCTGCATGAAATATGTAATTTTATGGGTATTACGAAAACGCGCACTACTAGCTACCATCCTCAGTGTGACAGACAGACAGAGCGCCAAAACCGCACAATTCAGGTTATGCTTTCCTCATTTGTTTCTAATAGGCGAGATGATTGGGACTTGTGGCTGGATTCAGTCACGTTCGCTTACAATACTAGCAGACATGGCACACTAGGCATGTCTCCGTACAAGGCAGTTTTTGGCCAATTACCTAGGCTGCCAGTTGAATTGGAATTAGGCATGCCGCTAACAACACTGTCCACCCAGAGCAAATATTTACAATCCGTTAGGTCAGCATTTCATGATATTAGACGCATAGCAGAGGAACATTTATCAAAAGCATCGAAAAAACAGGCAAGGCTAAATCAACCGACAAATACCTGGCGGCCTTTCGAATCGGGCGAAACAGTCATGTTGAGAAGACCGAAAGGCTGGAAGGTTCGGACCTAGATGGGTGGGGCCTTATATAATCTTAAAACGGATGGGGGTAGACTATCGAATTGTTTCAAAGGAAGGGAAGGTGATGGTCGTTCACCACGACCATTTAAAACGCAGTTTTATCCCGTTTCAAGAGGGCTAACCAGTTTGCCCTAGTAGGGAAGTGGGTGAGTTCAAGGTGGTTGATGTTACACCCCAACATGACGGAATTGACAAAGTTCCTCGTGCTCGACCTGCCAGACTTAGACAACACATTAATCCGCCATTAAGATATGGATTTGATTGAAAGCATGTCCTCGGGACGAGAACATAAGGAGGAGGATGGTGTAACGAATATCAGATATTAATAGATTAACATTAAAAATAGTATACAGACAAACACTAATGGAATAAGGAAAGGTAGCTTGCCGCGGACGTACCATTGCAAGTGCTTCCGAGATTAATATAAAAATAACCATCAATATACAAATATAGCATTTTAGATAAGTAATGGAAACGTACACGCCCTATAAAACGAGAGTATATATAACAAATGTAAACTATTGAATAACAGAGTTGGATTTAGACCTGTTGTGTGTTTGTGTGTGTAAAGTAAGCTTGGCTCGTTACGTATGAGATGTCAGATTTTGAAAGCTAAATTCTTTAATATTGATTTGCTGAACTTAAAATTAAGTAAGAATTTTCAGAAGGGATTGGCAAAATATACAACAAAATATTAGACCAGCAGTTCATTTCAATCAGGTCAAAAAATTTGAAACCAGTTGTCCAAAAAAGCAATTTTCCCCTTATATGAGATGTCAGATTTTAAAAGCTAAATTTTTTAATATTGATTTCCTGAACTTGAAATTCAGTACGAATGTTCAGAAGAGATTGGCAAAGGATACGAAAGAACATAAGACCAGCAGTTCATTTCAATCAGTTCAAAAAATTTGAAAACCACTGTCTAAAATAGCAATTTTTCCCTTATATGAGATGTCAGACATTGAAAGCTAAATTCTTTAATATTGATTTGCTAGACTTGAAATTCAGTATGAATGTTCAAAAAAGATTGACAAAGGATACAACAGAATATTACACCAGCAATTCATTTCATTGAGTTCAAAAAAAATCAAAACAATTATCCAAAATATCAATTTTTCCCTTATATGAGGTGTCAATTTTGAAAGTTAAATTCTTTAATATTGATTTGCTAGGCTAAATTCTTTAATATTGATTTGCTGAACTTGAAATTCAGTAAGAATGTTCAGAAGGGATTGGCAAAGGACACAACAGAATATTAGACCAGCAGTTCATTTCAATCAGGTCAAAAAATTTGAAACCAATTGTCCAAAATAGCGATTTTTCCCTTATGAGATGTCAGATTTTGAAAGATAAACTCTTTAATATTGACATACTCAATAAATAATTTGAAAGTCTCGCGCAAACTCCACAACAAATGCTCGTGGGCAACTTTGCAGGGGGGGGAAAATTATTTTCACGAATACATTTCTGGTTTATTTTTTTAACTTTGTGAAAGCAAGAAAATGCAATTTAAACACGGAGACTTGTTAATCTTGTTATGAGAAATATTAACAGCAAAAACGGACAAATTTTACTCGGGTGGTTGACTGATTGTGGTTGTGAACAAATGTATGCTTGAATTTCGTCCCCCCGGAATGCTGTCCGCGAGGGCTGGAATAGTAAACATTCATTTTCTTGTAAAATATGAAACTTAGGCTAATTTCACTCTCCAGTGACCACCCCTAAAAGCAACCATTCTGAACCATATAAACAATTCAGAAAGACTGTAGCTTGGATAATTCAGGATTTAGAGCTATGTCAACTATGCCGTTTCTGGGTGGTCATTTTCAGGACTTTCGTCCCGGATTCACATTTTGGCACATATGCCATGTTGACCGCCATGGTCATTTTACCCTAAAACAGTTGAGATAATCTGTCCTAAATGAAATGCATACAAACTCCTTTACAAGTCCTAGACTAAGAATTAGACGCAGATGAACACAGACAGTTTGTAATATAAAATACTTTAATATAACCCAGAGTGTTCCCGAATAAGTTGAATCGAAACCAAAAGTAAGCAGGTTCGAACTATATAACACAATACATAATGACATACTTTAACTACCACAACCCTGCTCGTGTGACTATGTCATGCAACACGCGATCATTAGAAAATATAATCATAAAGACATAAAAACAACATAATCATAAAGAAATAAGAAATTACTATTGTAGGCCACGCTCTAATACGTAGAGCGCATCGTCTAGCTATATACCAATAGATAAATTAACTACAACTGCTGTTCGTGTACAAAAGGAAATGTTAACGTGTACTCACTTTGGTTTACACGCGCACCGTAATGTTGAAACTCCAAACCACCGCGAGTACGTATATTGGGTAGCACGACTTTAGACAATGTGAAGAACGTTCGCGACGAAGAAATTTAACTTTCGATAAAGTAGACTGACGTTGAATTGACCCTCTTTCGGTCACACAACTAAACAACTGACTGCCTAAAGCATGCACCCATAAACGTAGTCGCAACTAGATTGACATGCCCTGATTGACAGTTACAATAAAGATAACTTCTAATTACGTTGATTGATGGTGCCTGTCACCATGCTTACGTTTTAAAACTAACATTCCGGCCCCTAAAGGCGGTACCAAGAGTAGCCTTTACTACATAGCAATAAAGTTTTGAAACGAACTAAGATATTCAAACAAACAAATGTAAATTAAGGTTCTGCAGCTAGGCGATAATATTGTTTATGCACTCGTCTACTTATCGTTTTTGGCGATGTCCGCTTCCTCCAGGAGTACAATCTTTGTGCCTGGTCTTGTCAGCTCGGATGTCTTGGTCAACCTTACAGAGCGTACGCCCATCGTTTCGGTTAGGGTAAACTTCCAAAACTCTTCCCATGGGCCAGGAATTTCGGGGGGTTTTGTCGTCCAGAACTAGCACGATGTCGTTCTTCTTAAAGTTTCTTTCCTCTTTATTCCATTTCTGTCGTTTTTGCAAAGATGGGAGACATTCCTTCGTCCAACGACGCCAGAACATGTCCGCTAGATATTGGATTTAGCGCCATCGCCGACCATAGATGTCTTGGTTGGAGAGAGACGCGGGTGGAACGGTGGGTCCACCTCTCAGAAGCAACAGGTGGTTCGGGGTCAGGGGCTCCATATCTCGTGGGTCGTCGGAGAGCTTGGTAATAGGTCGTCCATTCACGATTGCCTCGACTTCGCACATTAAGGTTTTAATGCCTTCGTCGTCTAACACCTGTTCTTTGATGATCCCCTGGATCACCTTTCGCGTAGTTCGAATGCACCGCTCCCATACGCCACCATGATGGGAACCTGTCGGCGGATTGAATAACCACTTGATATTTCTCTGCAGGAGGAAGTCGTGGATTTGTGACTGATTCCATTCCTTCACAGCTTCACGTAGCTCCTTTTCCCCTTTGACAAAGTTTCCGCCGTTATCGGAACGAATAACCTCAGGCTGACCTCGTCTTGCGATAAACCGACGCAGGGCGTTTATAAATGACCCTGTTTATTATTATTTTTATTACTATTATTAGTTTCCAGGGAACTCGCAACTTCAATATGGATCGCACGGATACTCAAGCACATGAAGAGCACCCCGTAGCGTTTCACTGTAGTGCGGCCACGTCTCACTTTAAACGGCCCAAAGCAGTCGATTCCAGTACATGTAAACGGCGGCTTCGATGGCGTCGTCCGATCGGAAAGATCAGCCATTTTCTGTCGAGTGGTTGGTGCTTGTCGTTTCTTACAACTGACGCATTGATTAAGGATCGTTTTTACGGTTCGCCTCCCGTTGATGATCCAGTATCTTTGTCGTATCAGCGACAAGGTGTACTCTAAACCAGAGTGCCCAGACAGGTGATGGTGGTGCTTCACTATAAGTGCAACGACGTGGTGGTGCTTGGGCAGAATGACGGGATGTTTTGCATCATGATTAATCGGTGCTCGCCTCAGGCGGCCGCCAACACGGAGTAGACCTTTGCTGAGGAGCGGATCGAGGTTCAAAATCTTGCTTGACCGTTTTACTGCTTTATTTTTGCACGTCCCTGGTGACTTTGCTGCTGCTCCTCTTTTTCAAATAGCTGGTGTTCCTCTTTGAAGGATTCGCCCTGTATATGTTTCAGGATTACGTCTTCTGCGTTTTGGATCTCTTGGACATCAATAGGAACGATTTTATTACTGAACTCGATTGCGAAAGATTCTTCAGTCTTTCGTCTCTTGCTTACACGTAGAAGCTTCGCTTTGTACCTTAACAACCACGCCATGATCCTCCTCAGGCGATCCCATGATGAATAGCGGTCGATTATTCTCGCTACCGGATTACTCGCGTGAGAACAATAGCTCGCTCACACGATAGGCCCTTTGATCTCGGGATCGGCGTCGTCGACGGGCATGGCCATTTCGCCTGGTCGTTTCGGCCAAAATTCTTTCGACTTCCTCAGAAACTCTGGTTCTTCAATCCAACGATGGAGAGACTCGACTGGCACTCCCCTTGAAGCATCGTCGGCTAGGTTCAGCTCGGTATTAATATAACTCCATTGAGCGGGAGATGATGCATTGTGAATAGCGGCGACCCGGTTTGCCACGAAGGTTTGAAATCTTTTGTCTTGGTTTTCGATATACCGCAATACGCAGGTACTATCCGTCCAGAAGAACGATTCATCGATGGGAAAACTAAGTTCTTGGCACGTTATCTGGTCCAGCTTGGTTGCTACGACTGCTGCCGACAATTCCATACGGGGAATAGTAACTGGCTTGATTGGTGCAAGTCTTGATTTTCCCATCACAAACGAACGTTTAACCTGTCCATCCTTGTCCTTGACTTTAAGGTATGTAACGGCTCCATACCCATGCTGCGAAGCGTCCGCAAAATGGTGAAGTTGGGTGTCACTGATTTCGCCTAATTCAGCAGGCTTGAAACAGCGATCGACAGCAAGTTGTTCCAGCTTAGGTAAATCTTCTAACCAGGCTTGCCATCGTTTCATGTATACATCCGAGATTTTGTCGTCCCAACCCAATTTCTCTCGACATAAATCTTGAAGAATGAGTTTGGCTTGCAGGATAAACGGAACAGCGAACCCCAAAGGATCGTAAACTGAACCAACGATCGACAAGATACCTCTTCTCGTGGCAGGCCGGTCTTTGATGACGATCGTAAAACCAAATTTGTCCGATGTTATATTCCATTGGACACCGAGCGCTCTTTCCATGGACCAGCAATCGAAGTCGAGATTTTTGACTACTGAAGCTCGTTCTGATTCAGGTAAGGATTCGACCACCTTTCTTGAATTGGAGAGCCATTTTGTGAGCTTGAATCCACCTCGCGCAAGCAACTCGCGTAGCTTTTTTGCAAGATTGACTGCCTCTTCTTCTTCCCTGACTGACTTCAGGCAATCATCAACGTAAAAGTTCTTTTCTACCGTTTCGATTACCTCAGCGTTGAAACTTGTCTCGTTATCTTTCGCAGTTTTCTTGAGCGCAAAGTTGGCGCAGCTCGGAGATGATGCGCCGCCAAAAAGATGGACTCTCATTTCATATTCCTCCGCCTCTTTAGAAAGGTCGCCAGCAGGCCACCACAGAAACCTCAAAGCATCACAATCTGACGAAGGGACGCGCACCTGGTAAAACATAGGCCCGTATTCAAAAAGCTCACTCACACTCAAACTCATTGAGTGGGAGATCTTAATCTGCCCATAACGTTTCAATGGCGGTATTTTCAGCCGAACAGGGGCTTGATTTTCAGTGATTTACCTTATATCTTTTCATCTATTGAGAGAAAACTTTCTCATTGATCAGCATTAACAAAATTTATATGTCACACTCAATGAGTGTGAGTGTGAGTGAGCTTTTTGAATACGGGCCATAGCCTCGACATCTGCGATCATTGCAACGGGTTCCTCTCTGAACCTAGTCAGCACGCCGACAAGACTGTTGGTGAGATCCGGCCCCTGTAGCAACTGATCGTTTAGTGAAGTGTCGCGATGTTTTGCCAAACAGTCGAACACTACTCGAACCTTGTCAGGCATCTGTGGGTGAAACACTGGATGGTGAGGCAGATACCATTGGGTTTCCAGAGGTCCGGTTTCTTGACTAGACACCTTTCTGGCGTAATCTTTAGAAAACAGGTCGTCCATGAACCTTTTATACTTCTCAAGGATTGATCGTGCTGAAGTCGTTTCTTCAGCGAGCGAAGGTGTTGTTCTGCTTGCGATCGGTTGTTTGAAAGTGGTGGTGGGTATGTTTTCCATGGCAATCCAATTTCGTAGTGGCCGTTCACCAGTTTAGCTGATTGTTCCATCAGCTTCAGTGCTCTCTTGTCGTTCTGAGACATGGTCGGTTTCATTTCGTGGGTAACATCATTAAATTCCATGTTACAATACTCTTCAAACCGTTGATTGAGATCTTGATCTGCTTGGATGCCATTCACCATAGGGGGGCTGCTACCTTCTCGCCCTAGCGGTCCGTTTAGAACACAACCTAGCAAGGTTCTTGTGGCAAAGGGTCCACCGTTCTCACTTGTTCGTACTTCGAGAGGTTGCAGTATCTCTGGAACGTCACTGCCAATCAGAAGACCAATCTCAGCATCAATATGCGGTAAAGAGATACCCTGTAGGTGTGACCAGCGCTCTACGTCCTCTTGTTTCCCGATACATTCCGAGCGGACAGGTAGGCTCGGCGTTGAATAAACTTTCGGCAACCTGACATGATGTTGATTTTTCAGGTCGAAGACTTCCAGCTCGACCACGGAACATGCGATTGGAGTGCCTTTTCCCAGTATCGTTGTCAATGTGAGATTGGTTCTCTTCCCCTCGCGCCTTAGTTGCCATAAAAGATCCTTGTGCAGAACGAGATATTCAACCCAGAGTCTAAAAATGCATAGGTTTCGACTTCCACAGATCCTTCCTTCGCCTTCACCTTTACCGGAACGATATCGAGACACGTCACCGATGGACCTTTTGATTGGTTAGAGTGGGGTTGGCACCTTACATAACCGTTGACGTTGCGTGCTTGAGTTGATGGATCCTTACATTCTTCGTCCTTCGTTTGCTCTGCTTGAGGGTTTGTTCTCTTATAGTCCTCTTTATCGTTTTGGGTAGACTTTGGGTGTAGAAAGGTAGAGTGTTTCCCTGTACAGCCATCGACCTTGCAGAAACTTTGCTTAGCACATGAACGAACGAAGTGACCACTGGTTAGACAATTCAAGCAAAGTCCCTTGTCTCTCACGTACTTCTTCCTTTCTTCTAGCGACAGTTTCCGGAATTTATCGCAACGCGACAACCAATGGTTTGCGTTACACGGACACACATTCTTGCTCATTTTTTATTCCTTTCCTTGTGTCCCAAATCTACTCGCTCTGGCTCCGTATTGTCGCTTCCCTTTGTGTTCTTCTAGTTTTCCTTTAGGGTCGCTCGTAATTTTTCCAAATATCGGGTGGGTAGCCGCTCTAGCCTTGGCGGTCACGAATTCCGTCACGTCTTCAATCGTCACATCTCTTCCATCCTTCTCTACAATTCGATCAACCGTATCACGCCATTTTAATCTTATGCCAAACGGAAGCTGATTGATGATTCTTTTCAGATTCTCGGGATGATTCAACTTTTCAAGCGAACCGATTTCTTTTAGTGTATTCGTGCAGCTGGTAAGTTGAATTGAAAATTGCATTAGTGCGTTACCGTCTTCGGACTTGATCGCAGGTCCCTCTGTTAGGGTTTCGATGTGCGCTGCAGCAACTCTATACTTCTGTCTGTATCTTTCCTTTAGTAACCTTCTTGCTTCAACGTAACCTCGCTCAGGATTCATCGACAGGCAACTTCTCATGAGGTCTTGCACAGGTCCTGATGTATACTGGATAAGATAATACAAACGGGCGCTGGAACTTGGTGTTTTCTCCTCAACTCGATGCTCGAAGCTTCGAACAAAATCGCAATATTCGATGTGATCTCCTTTGAACGGCTTTATCGTGGGCTGAGGTAACGTGAGTGCCATGACGCTTTGTTGTTGCTGTTGTACTATCTGCTGAAGGGCGACGTTTTGACGATCCTGGGTCTCCATCAGGTGTTGTAGTGGGTTGGCGAGAGGGTAGTTGCCAGGTTGAGAAGCCTCAGGTGCGTGGTCTGGAAACCAAGCAGGTGAAGTTGGATTCAGTGAATGACTTTCTCGTGTAACCTCCGTTGGCTGTGTTGGCCGCAGCTTGGGCCGCTGCTGCAGAACTGGATTTGCATGTTGGCTACCGTTAGTCGAATTTCTTGTTTTGGGAAGGGCAGAATCAGTTATGATCCCTTCTTTGCTCGAAAGGGTCTCTTCTACTTCTTCGAATCCTTCGAAAGTTGTTTTTTCCGCCGCGGCTGCAGATATTTCCCCTTGAAGTTCCACTTGACTTCTTTTTTGTTTAATTTTTAACTCTTCGAGTTCCAGGTCGTGCAATTTCTGTAGCGAGATTGCTCCTGCTTCCAACGCTGCTTGCCTTGCTGCCGCCTTTGCTTTATAGCTAGATGTACTCCTCATAGAGCTGGATTTTGATTGGGAAGACTTATGTTATCCGACAGTGCTAACTGAATCTTCCGGTTAGATTTGATTTTGGTCTCCATGAGAAGGCCCGGTTTGCTGTTGAAGCCACGATTGAATTTTGATTTTAAGTTCTGAAACTAGTTCGTTGACCGAACTGAAATACACGATAGAATCCTTTATCAATTCCTCTTCCTCAAGTAAACTGTGATAGACTTCGTGCGCACTTTGGAATTGTTTCGAGACGTCATCTAGTTCATTAGCAACTTCTTTAACATTTAATTAATTATAATAACTTGTAGGTACACCACGTAAGTATTAAATACTGCAAAGCTTTCGGTCCGTTAACCCGGACCTTCATCAGTGCAATTACTTGAATACACGTTTGCGCGTCACTTAAATATCATGTTAGTCGTGATTAGTTTGCTCGCGCTATTAATTAAACGGTTTCATTTAATTAAGTTCTAACTAATGCGCGCGCCCTAGACAAGTATTTGACTAAGAGACACCGAAAAGAGCACGCCACGTACTATTAAGTGGCTTTCCCTCTTGGACGATAGTTTGATGTTTATAAATTTCAATAGATTCTCTCATTTTACGAGAGACAGTAAACTTATCGTTTGCTAAAATGGTAGCATCGTTCCATTTAATGCGATGATCATAAGTCCATGCATGGTGAGCTACTGCAGACTTATCCAGTTTACCTTTCTCGCAGTTCGTCTTATGTTCTTTAAGACGTATTGAGAGATTTCTACCGGTCTCTCCAATGTAAACCAAACCACATTCACATGGAATGCGGTAAACATTCTCTTTAACATTGTCTAAATTATCACACGTTGACAGCAATTCGTTAAGCTTATTAGCCTTTCTCGTTACATTCCCCTTTGCTGTGCTTCCTGCCCTTTTTAATTCATCCTTATGTTCTAAATCCATTAAGCGTTTAATTGATTCAGTACGTTTTGTAGGTTATGACAGACGGGAATGTCAACAGGAAACTCTTCGCATTACTGGACCGTGCCCCAAGCACGAACCGAGAGAACAAATTCTTCAAATTCTTTGAATTCTTTAACCGTGTAACAAATTCGAACTTAAATGTAGTCCCACTGGTAGAACGGACCGGGAGCCCTTACAAACAGATAGGCAAAACCCAGCGAGATAACATTTAGGATTGATTGGTGCGCAGATATTTCGAACTCAACAGAATTAGACGCAGATGAACACAGACAGTTTGTAATATAAAATACTTTAATATAACCCATAGTGTTCCCGAATAAGTTGAATCGAAACCAAAAGTAAGCAGGTTCGAACTATATAACACAATACATAATGACATACTTTAACTACCACAACCCTGTTCGCGTGACTATGTCATGCAACACGCGATCATTAGAAAATATAATCATAAAGACATAAGAACAACATAATCATAAAGAAATAAGAAATTACTATTGTAGGCCATGCTCTAATACATAGCGCGCATCGTCTAGCTATATACCAATAGATAAATTAACTACAACTGCTGTTCGTGTACAAAAGGAAATGTTAACGTGTACTCACTTTGGTTTACACGCGAACCGTAATGTTGAAACTCCAAACCACCGCGAGTACGTAGATTGGGTAGCACGACTTTAGACGATGTGAAGAACGTTCGCGACGAAGAAATTTAACTTTCGATAAAGTAGACTGACGTTGAATTAACCCTCTTTCGGTCACGCAACTAAACAACTGACTGCCTAAAGCATGCACCCATAAACGTAGTCGCAACTAGATTGACATGCCCTGATTGACAGTTACAATAAAGATAACTTCTAATTACGTTGATTGATGGTGCCTGTCACCATGCTTACGTTTTAAAACTAACAAGAGAAACAACTCGAGATCTCTCAAACATGTTCGACAAAGTGCCAATTCAACCTGCACTAAGAGGAGAACAACTCGAGGTCTCACGAACATGTTCGACAAAGTGCCAATTCAACCCGCACTAAGAGGGGAACAACTCGAGGTCTCCCGAACATGTTCGACAAAGTGCCAATTCAACCCGCACTAAGAGGGGAACAACTCGAGGTCTCCCGAACATATTCGACAAAGTGCCAATTCAACCCGCACTAAGAGGGGAACAACTCAAGGTCTCCCGAACATGTTCGACAAAGTGCCAATTCAACCCGCACTAAGAGGGGAACAACTCGAGGTCTCCCGAACATGTTCGACAAAATGCCAAGTCAACCCGCACTAAGAGAGGAACAACTCGAGGTCTCCCGAACATGTTTGACAAAGTGCCAAGTCAACCCGCACTAAGAGGGGAACAACTCGAGGTCTCCGGAACATGTTCGACAAAGTGCTAATTCAACCCGCACTAAGAGGGGAACAACTCGAGGTCTCCCGAACATGTTGGACAAAGTGCCAAGTCAACCCGCACTAAGAGGGGAACAACTCGAGGTCTCCCGAACATGTTCGACAAAGTGCCTAGTCAACCTGCACTAAGAGGGGAACAACTCGAGGTCTCACGAACATGTTCGACAAAGTGCCAATTCAACCCGCACTAACAGGGGAACAATTCGAGGTCTCCACGCAGGTCCAACTTAGCTAAGTTTCTCCCACTCGTGCAGGCTCATATTGTCAGCGGACAACTTACACAAAATTGAGAGCAAGGCGTAAAACGAAAAGCTTCTAATTTTTCATGCGAAGACTGCTGGAAAACTGAGCCCTCTTTACTGGGAGAAAATTTGCCGTATATGACCAACGTGCTCCCGAACATGTTCGACAAAGTGCCAAGTCAACCCGCACTAACAGGGAAACAACTCGAGGTCTCCCGAACAAGTTCGACAAAGTGCCAATTCAAAGTGCAGCACACATTGCCTAAGTTGTGCTGCACTTTGAATGAACTTTGAGTCGATCTCGGCGAACAAACGTTTCCTGGTACTGGATGTTTTCGTTTCTGGTACAGCGGTAGGTTCAGCATAATAGGAATTCAACATTCGCTTAAGGCTGGTCATTGATTTTTTTTTTTTGAACAGTTTCTCGTGTTGTGTTGGGTCGACAGGAGAGAATGCTTCAGCAAAGCTTTCTGTATGCGTTGCCAGCGAGAATAGGGCTGACCCTATTTTGAATGCCTCGTTAATTGTATCATGGAGGTTGTCGTCGCATAAGAATTTTAACATTTCTTTTACAGTTTGCGGTGATGTATCGCCTGGCTGCTTGCTGTTAAGTGCGGAAAGGTGTTCTTGAATTCCCTCGAACGCGCTTTTAAAGCAAAGGAAAGATGATGCCCGTAGTAAGGGGCCACCAGTTGCTGCTTCAAGCGTCTCAAGGCTTTTGTCGATCGTATCTGCCATTTCCGATGTCGCAATCTTTTGGCGTATGAGCCACTCGCATGACTCAGGTTTTATTCTTTTATAAACTGTTTCTTTGGTTGGTGGCTCCTCTTGCTTCCCGTACGGCCTCAAGAAGTTTTTTGGAAGCTGATTCAGGTAAAAAAAACAGCACCTTTAGCAGGAAACTTCTTCCAAAACTTTGACATACTGCAAAAAAAAGTAAGAAATTCATTCAGTTGTTATGAAAACAAGATAACAAATTCGTCCAGTTGTTAATTCGTCCAGTTATAATAATAATTGTTTAACATTGTGAATACCACTAACCTTAAATAAAAAGAGAACAATGAATATATTTCTTCAGATAGAAAAATTCAGTTCGTAAATTGCAAAAAGCATTTACGCTTATATGTTACAGACTTGTACACAAGGCACTTAATGTACTTAAAAAAAATAAAAATTTTACATCTTTTAGTTTCAGAAAACATTTAGTTGAAGCCTTAACTTTATCTCGACTAGATTTTAGTGATATTGTGTTTTACCCAGTAACTAAAAACCTGCTTAAACGACTTCAACGTATCCAATTCTCCGCGGCAAGTTTTGTTTTTGGAAGGTATGTTAACAAGAATTGTGACATCCTTAAAATGGGCTGGTTACCAATGAGGGAGCGTAGAGAATGGCATTTGCTTAAAGCCGCCCACAAAGCATTACATAGTAATGACTGGCCGGAATATCTATCTCGAAACTGTCTCGCATACAAGGACGTTACGCTCATCAGGATCGATAACCTTAGTCAGGCCAATGGAATCAAACACCTTCCAAGATAACGCATCTGCACTTTTTAATGCATTACCATCTACAGTAAGATCTTGTGACGATTTTAGGCGTTTCCATTCCCTTACCAAGGCGATTCTAAGAGAACGTTGCGGCGAACAGTTATAGTTATTATCGATAGTTTTATAATAAGTATTTATAGTTAGATGTTTATGTAATTTAGTAATGAGGAGTATTATCATAAAATTTATGTAATTTAGAGTAGTCTTCAATAGATGAAGAGCCTTCTATGAGGGAGATGTTATTGAATAAATCATTAATATTATTATGTGGGACTTCACAATGTTTATCAGAAAGTTTTAAACGATGCATATACAATGATATCAATTTTATAAGCATAAAAATATAACAAATTTTTCCTTATCTTGAAGAAGGCAAACCTTTTGCAACAATTACAAAAAGCATTGTTTATCAGAATACATGCACGCATGCGTGATACACACTTCCATCAATTGCAAATTGACAATCCTTTCCAATTATTTACCCAATAAATCTGCGAAACAACATAATAAATAGAGTGCAAAAATAATTAAAATTAGAGAAATGATTGTTTAGATATGTGAAAGATTAAAATTTAAGTTATTTGCAAGAATAGGGAAGGCAAAACAGAACCCATTTCAATAACGTTGCAATCCATCACAGATTCTTTAAACGAAATAACTCTGCAACAATGTTCCCCATTGCACTTGTAACATGTACATTTGAAAATGACATGACCTACGCTTACGATTGCAAAGATATCTAAAGGATATCTAAAATTCATGTTATTTGAACTAGAAGGGAAGCCATTACCCAGCTAACACAATTACGTTGTAGCAACGTTGTACGAACGTTTGCCGAACGTACACACTACGTTGTAATAGTTAACCTGCACCGTAAAACGAGAACGAACGAATATGCAAGTATGCTAATGTTTTCATTGAAATTACGAAAAGCTGATTGGTTTGCATATTTAAACATGTACGAATGGACGAAAGCGACGAACGAATGAGCGACAAAAAGTCGCTTGCTTGTACTAAACATGTTTTCAACCGTATTGTAATGCTTGTATATTTTTTCTGTCGTTGTGCTGATAGAAAAACTACATTTCGGCTAATTCAATCAAGGATGGTAGAAGATAGTCTTAACTTAAGGCCGTAAAGAAGATACACACAGACATGTATTACCATTAGATATATATTTGGGGATATGCAATACACATGCATGCGCACGTAAAAATCTCACATCTTGTAACTGCATGAAAACGCCTAAAGAATTGTAATTTCATCACATTTTTTATTTGAGCCTAATAGGTGATCATAACAGAAAGGAATTTCATGTGATAGAAACTATTTAGCGTTAAGTTTAACTCGACTTTGTGATATTATTGTAATTTCCATAACATGCCAGTTAAAACGTATATTCAAATCCCAGGAGCATAATAAGTTCCATAGCCACAATAAACTTAAATGCAAATCAGCAGTAACTGCTATACATATTACGATAGTTAAATTATTGTCGTCAGTCGCTTCGATCTCGCTTGTCTGCTCTTCCATTGCGGCATTTATCACCGGTAGTATACATTGAATATATTGCCTGAACGGCGTTGTGCAAATTTAATAGCACGATGTTTAAAACCTCTACGTCGTCTGCCATGCTTTTTCAAACAGCTCATTCGTAGTTTGAACAATTGCAAATCCACCTGGAATTGCATATAAATACACGTATATGCAAATGTCTTAAAACACATGAAGAAATGCTTAAGAATTGTTGTAATAATTGCATTGAGGCTACTTAACACGACCTTGATTAACTATAAAATTCAATTGAGTTTACGAATTGACGACTTCGGTAAAATACTCAGGGTTCTATGTATAATATTATTCAACTTAGTTATTCCTCAGTTTGGGATGTTACCATTACCGTTCATCGATCATCGTCATCTTGTTGCATGCCCCCTGTTTTAACCGTATAATATACACGATATCACAACACAAAATTACCTCACCAAAATATGCATGCTACGGCTTAAAGTTTACAAACAAATATGATAATAAACTTGTTTTAGCCAATAGAAACCATCTATTTGAACGATTGTGAACCGTACTCTCGTTCAGTTAATGAGGCTACTCGTTCGTTCTCGTTCTACGGTGCAGGTTAACTAATTAACGTCGTTGGAACGTACTTTTGTGAACTCCCACGAACGGATTAAACACGTCGGGATTGACGTACCAGTTTTACGTTCGTACAACCTTCGGTCGACGTTTGGACATTTATACAACGTTCATAGTACGTTTCTGGAACGTTCCAACAACGTACAGTGAACGTTCACTTAACTGTTGGTATGAAACGTCCTCATTAGTTTGAAAGGCATTTTTCAGACAAGTCCTTGAACTATCAAATTTCATGCAATATATGCATGTTATAAATTTTTATCTTGCTTAAATTATTGGTCAACAATACAACATGATGTACAGGATAGAATGCAATTTATTTAAATAAAACTTAACTGTGTATACATGTATAAAATTAATACGAATCAAACCATTTACAATATTCTGTATTATATATATGTATATCATGCCAAAAGGCCTATCTACATGATGCGATTAGTCGTATATGCGATTCATATACCGGCGTATGTATTCGAGTAAATACGTGTGTAAAGATGTCAAATTTCAAATTTCGTTTTAATAAACTGAGGAACAGAAAGACTGGCATCAGCAATCGTTTTCATACGTCTGGATAAGAATCGCATACCACTATAATCGCATCGTGTAGATAGGCCTTAGATAAAATGTACACCATAAAATAAGTTATGCACTTCCTTGCTCCTGGTTCCTACGATCCTGCAAAGAAAAAAACGCAATAAATGTTAGGTATATGTTGTACATATATAAGCCCATCAAATTTATGGTTATATGTCAAACATTAATTAGAGTCTATATAAGATAATTTTCATATACGGACCGTAAGACGCGCGTCTCCTGTATATGTAGTTTGCACTTTACTAGTGGCTAGTTTTAGAGTTTGAAAATTCGATTGTGACAAAGATTGTGAAGAGGTCCGCATTGCTGCAATGCGAGCCTCGTACTCTAGCAATTATATAGGTGAGTTATAGTTACCTTGTATCTAGAGCCACCGGATTTCTGTGGATCATGCTTCAAATACTCTGCAATTTGTTCCTCGATGTCTATTTCACTTACACCTTTGTGAACACGTAGACAGGCCTCTATAATTGAACAAAAATAGAACAATTATAGCTAGTTATCAGAAAGGGTTAATAGCAATGAGCCAGTTGTTCGAAAGGTGGATTAGCACTAAAGCACCTGTACAGTACATGGGTACATTCATCACCAAACAGAATACATTATAATTCATTATTTCCTGGTAAAGCCTGGCACAAATATCATGGGCCAAACAATAATGTACAAATATACTATGCTATACTTACTGATAACAATTTTCGAGACAGCAAGTTCTTTAAATGCCCGCTTTGCTTTTCTCCTCTTCAGACTATATAATGACCACAGCTTGTTTGTTCCGACCTTAGCCAGGATTCTTCTTGTGCTAAAACCATGGTTATGCCCACACAGAGCAAGGAAGAATTGTAACTACAAGTAAAATATTTATATTAATTAATTTATCGTGAACAAAAGCAATACGTGGCAGAACAAATGGCAAACCAGGGTGTCTGCAGTATGCTCATTACCATTTTTTTCCTAGCATCTTCATCTGCAAGTCGATCATTAAGGTTTTCCAATTCCTCAACTGAGTCCAGAGGATTGGGAATAATATCCTCAAGCATTTCATTTCCACTAACACCTCTTGTGGCACCAAGTACTACCCGCAAAATTGATAATGCTTCTTCTTGTTTTTCAAGCATTATATCAAGCTTCGTCAGAACAGATCTTTGAAAGCCTAATGACATTTTAAATGTATTTATACTATTAATTATGTAACTTTGTTAGGAATGGATGACCAGCTTTCTTGATATTGGGAAATGACTGGCCACACCAGAAAACATACATGCACATAATATTAAATTATTACATTACGTGCATATAATTGAAACAACATATCCTCAAAACAAAAAATCAGACAAGATCTCATGGACTCTAAAGAAACCACGCCAACTTACTGTCGTGATCCTGATGTAGAGAGTTGCGATTGCCTGATTTTGGTGTTTCAAAAGAGTCTGTAGTTGCACCAGAACCTGACAATTGAGAAAGAAATGCAATGTTCTAGAATATATAGTACCCATATGTACACTGACCATGTTTTATGACATATAAAACACTCAGCTTTGTCTCGTGTTATATATGTGATAAAACACATGTGTTTTAAATAGTACTTAAAATTTTGTCATGGCTTCACAACATGACCCGTTATTGCAGCAAGAAAGTGTTCAGTATAGGCTTGAAATATGCAACATTAAGTTGAGCACAATTTTTATTCCTTCCAGCTATGTCCAGATTTGAAATAGTGATTTCTTCTTTAGTAACTGTTTGAGAAAGACTACCACTACATAAAATATTTCTCTTTGGCAAAGCATAATGAAATCAAGTATACATACTGTAATGCTGGTTTCTTTCACATAAATTCCTGTTGCCTTCAGGAGTTCCAACAGCTGTTTGATAAAAAATAGCCTCAGTCTGGCCTAGCATATGAATTAATGACTCAATACACGTACATACACTGTACAATAAAAGCTAGAAAATCAAATGGAACATTCTTACTTCCATGGACATTCTGTACACCAGAACTTAAACTGGTCCTAGATGCATCAGTGAGAGGATTGCTCAGGGCACTAAAAATTTCTGAATATCAACAAAGTATAAATTAATACAACAGCAATAAAAACGTTTTAACTAAAAAGTATGACCTTATTTAACTACTTTCAAAATATCAGGCATCAGAAAGACAATTTTGCGAATTATTCAAAAGAATATGTGATTTGCACTGGTCATATTTAATTACACATAAAAACACATTCAATGCTTACCACTGGGATTTAAAGAGAACACCTGGGGCCGGTTGTTCGAAAGATGGATAACTTATCCAACGGATAAGTCCTATCCAGCGGATAAATCTGCTATCCAGTGGATAGTTATCCATTGGATAAAAACGCGTTGCACGAAGCGTGGATAGTGAAGTGGATAGCTATCCAATTGATAAGTTAAAATTTACCGGAAGAAAACAGGATTATCCTGAAATTTCGTACCACAACGTCAGTTGTTGCTAAGCATTTACAACATTGAATTCATAATCATTACGAATTCTCGAGTATAGTTACTGAATGGAAAAGACTTGAACAAGTGATTTGCTCGAACTTTGCACTTCACATCATAGTGATTTTATTAATTAAACACATTGCAATTTTATTCCTTGACCTTGCAACGCTTTGCCTTTCGGTTCCATAGAAAATTTAGGAACACTATTTTAATGTTCGTGAATGAAATTACTTATATATTAGCAAGTTTCCTTGGAATAGGTTGAATCTTTCTTTGCATATGCGCGTTTATAAACTGATTAGAAGCGTATAGTAAATTTACCGCCTGTTATAAATGCGAGGATCTCCAAAAAATCGCCGCTCGGAACGGAATGTGAAAGGCAACGTGAAACGCTGCTGCGACAAATTGCACTTCGAAAACATTTCTAATAGTGAATACAATCATGATGTGTATTAGTTTGTTGAAGCACAATAACAGGAATATGGCATTTTTGTCCTATTTTATATAAATGTTTACACTGTTACCTTGTATCTTTGAATTTATCCACTGGATAGTGGATTTAAACCACCTCCGGACCTTGGATAAATTTATCCGGTAGATAGCGATTTTTATCCGCTGGAAAAAGTTATCCAAGCTTCGTGCAACGCAAATCACACGCTGGATAAAACTTATCCGTTGGATAGCGACTTATCCGTTGGATAGCGACTTATCCACCTTTCGAACAACCGGCCCCTGATTGACTGCATTTACAACTGAACCATCTTGAAGAACATCATGATGACCCAGGCTATTTCTCACATCGAAGGTTGACAAACCCTTTCTCTGAGCCATGGGCAGACTCATTTCATTCGATGGATTTGATGAAAAGCTCGGTGCAACAGGGAGCAATGGTGTAATAACTGGGAAAGATGATCTAAGGGACTTCTTTTTCCCATTTTTTAAGATATCTTCATCCGCTAAAATGTAAATGAGAGAAACAACTATAACCTCAGTTGCAGAACAATATAAGTGCTATACACCACACCTGGTCATGATTGAGAACACTTTTTCTCAGGGCGAAAGTCCCATCCTTACTATGTAAGAAATATAAACCTAATGCCCTCAACATTTCAACTACAGTAACCTGTTCAGCAATACCAAAGAACTTACAATCACTGCCTTCTGAATATTCAAATAAACTGGCTTTTGTGCGCCTTCTTTTTCTTGCATGGCCAGAATCTGAATCGGATTCAACATTTGATGTTTCTTCAGCCCTTTTCAAAATCTTTTGTGCTTTTGCTACTGAATCTAATAATAATAAAACATGGCATATAAAACTCTAATTGGCAATTTACTTGTCAGGGCAGGTGTCCAGATAAAGTGTTAAAAAGTGCCATTACTGTAACGGTTGGAACCTTCAAAAAGCTCCCAACACAATTTTCAAAGCTATTAAAAACAAACCTGTATATGAGAAAACTCTGACTTTATAAGCAATCCAAGTTTCTTTGTCTGGAATCTCCAGCTTCCTTAATTTATGAGATGCATTATTTCGTGGCCAGTAGCAGTATAATTCCTAGAATGACAAGTTTTGTAAACAAAAATGCTGTTAAACTAGAGTATTTAGCAACATAAGATCATCATGGAATGGTCTATTTAGGGTGTTAGCAATGTCAAAAATTTGGCATGATACATGTACCCTGTTTTCACAACCAAATCTAGCCAGCAATTATCACAATTTAGAAAAAAGAAACTGGGTAACACCCAAGAACTATTCTGCAAGTGAACAAAATTCAACAAATTCTAACTACTTACACAATCAATTGTCTCAATCCAACATGTTGCAACAATTTCCACTAATTGTTCCTCTATAAATTCAACGACAGCATATATGTTGTTTGCCATCTATAACAGAAACAATAATTAAACAAATTGCATAATTTTTGGGGATTTTAGAGGTGCAGAATTATAATTAAAACCAGTACCTTCAGTGCAGAGTGCTGTTAGTATTTTGCAATATAGCCATGAATATAATTTTGTCAGGGCCAAGATTAATTTTTATGGCTTTTCTCTTGAGATCTTTGGAGGGCAGTAGTCTCATATTTGTCCAGCGTTGGTCAGCCTTGTAAGCACCAATGAGGCGGGAATCACATGGAGTCATGAAGATGGATTCAGTTTTGCTATAAACTCGGCATTGAAATAATTCATCCCCATTGTGATCATGATTGCCAGTCTTATCTACTACTTCACAACATGATGATTCAGACAAAATAAAAACATTATCTGGATTTTTTACACTGACTGCATCCTCATCTACAAGTTCAATGGAACCAGAGTGTTCACTCATGCGTTTTGCAATCTGTGCAATTGGACTCTTCCCTGATCGCACAAGACGTTTCAACTTTTGCATGTAGTTTTCAAATGGGAAAGAACTACACGCGTCTAAACTTTCAAACTCTTCAACCACATCTGCCAAATGAACCATACTATGCACATTATACACCAAAAACTCATCACCATACAAACATTTGCCTTGCTCAACAAAGTATTCCATGAGTTGCTTCGCATATTCCCTGTAAGACTTAGCTAACATAGGGCACACCAAAATGCAGCTAGCAACGCTAAGAGATAAGAAGTGCTCATATAAATCTGGTCTTAGGATACCGGATAGAACAATTTTTCCAGTATACAAAAGAAATTGCCGAAACTCAGTGGCCTTCCACCGATCAATTTCTGCTAAGCTCTGTGGCTTACGAGCAAATGTGCTGGGTATGGAAGACTTGACCTCTATCAATTTAGTACTGATAGACTCCGCCTGGCCAGCCGATATCTTAACTTCTCGCTTTCCTCGTAACCCATAGCAGAAGCAATTTCTTCATGACGCCCAGACACAATTGATGCATGTAGTCCATCGGAAATTTCTTAATCATATCAACTGGCAATTTACTGAAGGGACTAACACCATTATGATGCCCTTCATGCACTTGTTCTCTAAAAGAAAGATCTGTCCGCAACTCAACATTTCTAATCAGAGAGTACACAACACGACCAACCCATATGCCCTTCTGTGCACATTTATCACACCCAAAATAGCCAGAACACAACTTTGTGCAAGGGCTCTAGCGGGAGCATCACAAACTACACATCTTAAACAAACTGAAAGAACAGTTTCACCGTCTTGGAGCCCATTCTGTAGAAGATTATTCAAATCTCTAATTAGGTCATCCAAAAAATCCAAATCAACTGGTTTGGAATTACCACAGGTTAAAACCACTGGGAAAACAACTACAGGTGTGATATTTACAATGGCACATAATACTGGCCATAAACACTTCCTTGAACTCTTAAATAATGGAAGACCATCAACATTCAAAGAAATTTCAAGAGAATTAGTCCTAGCAATTATGTCTGAAGGATATTTCTTAAAGTGTTTCAACAATTGATTAGCAAAGGGAAAATAAACATATTCCATTCCAGACTTTTCCTGAATGGTTATATTTCTGGATGTGTGCAGCAAGGCACGAGCAGTAAGAGGCAAGTTTGGATGCCCATTCTCTTTCAAGACAGAAAGAAGACCATCAAGTGCATTATGTTTTATCATAAACCTATTTGCCCAATTGGTTAAGCCTTCAGCAAGAGAATCATCTAACAAATTATCATTCTCAGAATCTGATGAAGAAATAGAGTTATCATGCCAAGTCTCATCCAAATTTAACCTATCATGATTGCTTAAGTGATTTTCCTCAACAGAGGTGCAGATACGTTTAACAGGCTGGAGGTCATGATCATCTGACACAGTTCCAGTGTCATGGTTCGGGGGTGCTGAATCAAAAGTTAGTTCAAATAATTCAGTATCATCAACTTCAACTGGAATGGGAGCATTAGTACGTTTTAAACTACGAGCTGCAGCAGTCCAGTTCTTCCTATACTGTGCTCGGTTTGCTTTCATTTATGAAGCTGCAATAAACAACAGAATATAATCACTCATTGATTTTTTTTTGGTTTGAGAAACTACCTGCACTTGAAACTTTGCAGTGATGTTTAGAAATATGAAAGTTAATTAAGTCTATCATAAATGTAGGTATACATGCAAAATATACAATATGAATAAAACATAAAATATTGAGCAGTTCTAAGTGCAAAATCGACTTCTGTGTGACAATTACTCATGATTCCACTTCTCTTTGAATGTATTTCTCTATATTCCCTGTTTAATTAAAATGACTATGTCAACTACACCCCATGAAAATTCAACACAGTTTGTGGGTGCAACAAAACTGCTGACAAACTTAAAACTTATTTCTTAAATATATTATTCACCAGTAATTACTTGAATCAAATACCAATATTTTAAAATATATTATAGTCATACAACTATTCAATATTAATGTTACAGCATTCAGAATAATAAAAAATGCAAAGTATATGATGTAGTCATGCTGTAGGATTTATTATGGTGCATTCTTATGAAGGATCTATATATTATGGTGCAACAAAAATTTGTTTCAGTTTTAACAAGATTGATTAATTATCAAAACCTGCAAACTCTAAAATCTTTACCATGAATTTGTGGTCACAGCTGGGCAAATGGGTTGTGTTGCACAAACATTGAACTTTAACTATCAAGTTCAAATTTTAAGTGCACACAAGTATCACAGTGCCATACTACATGTAGGCCTATATACATGTAGGCCCATATATATAAAGGGCCTGCTCCTGCTTGCTGGGAAATTGTAGAGTGTGTGTCAACTCTCATGCTTTTACACATACTGTATTTTTTCAATTATCTTAAAAAGCAATTTGATAATTAATGAAAAAGATTTAAGTGGAGCATTTTAGAGGTAAATAAGTTAAAATAAGCAAATTTGAGCACGGCAAACATTATTTCTTACATACTGTACATGATACATTTATGACTATATCATGTATGACTGTATGACTATAACAGTGGATGATCAATTTACTTTTTTTGAATAAGCTCTTCAATTATTAAACATATAAAAAGATAAAAGAGAGACAATTTACACCTTATCTAATGTACTAGAGTAACATAAATTATTTATACTTGATTAAATCAGACCAAACTGGCAATTATTTACGGTGGCCCATAGGGGCCATGCCATAAATATAAATATATGCCTTCAGAATTTTATATAATGCCTTCAGAATTTTATATGATACCTTCAGAATTTTATATGATGCCTTCAGAGTTTTATGTAAGGGCCTTCAGAATTTTATATGATTCCTTCAGAATTTTATATGATGCCTTCAGAATTTTTTATGATGCCTTCAGAATTTTATGTAAGGGCCTTCGGAATTTTATGTATAGGCCTTCGGAATTTTATACGATGCCTTGGGAGTTTTTCGTGATGCCGTCGGAATTTTATATAATATGCGGAATACGAGTAAGGAGTGCGAATGTAGAGTATAGAGTAGAGCGAAGGATCAGAGTATTACAATATTTATGTAAGCAGTGGCAGCGCTAGGGGGGTGTGTTGTTTGCCCCGCATATCTTTTCATGTTACGTAAGTAGTGTAATACTGTTTTAACTTTTAAATACTTTTCTAGTCTTTCCCCCCAAAACATTTCTTTGACCCCCAATTGCCCCCCACTCATTTTAACCTGGCGCCGCCACTGTATGCAAGAACAAACAAGGGACGCTGCGAAAAGTGCAACCCAGGTCCTCCGGCAGGAATCGAACTATAGCTGAGGTGAGGTTAGGTATAGGGTTTTAGGTATGACGTTTGAGAAATTTTGAATTGACAAAATTCTGCTGTAATAATTTTCTTGTATGATTGCATGGCGACTTTAGTAATTATAATAACTTGTATAACTTATTGCACTGATGAAGGTCCGGGTTAACGGACCGAAAGCTTTGCAGTATTTAATACTTACGTGGTGTACCTACAAGTTATTATAATTAAAATTCTGCTGATTTATAGGGACTAGGCCATGAATTTTGATGAATTTTGCATTAAAAAATACAATTGACATTTTTTAGCTTTATGCCCAAATCTAAAATTCTACAACTTTATTCTAACAATGCTACACGCTTTTTAAAAAACATATCTGTGCGAAAGCCTTCAGATATGATGGATTGCTTTAACAGAAAAAAGAATCCAGATTGCATCAGTTAAACTCTTCCATCAACCAAATTGTTGTGAAATGTTCATGTAAATCTCATAACTCCATATGGTGCCTTAATCTCAACGCATGCCAAATGTAAGGATAGCCTCCAAGTCTCCTAGAGTCCTCCATCTCTCTGGCAATATGCTGGCGAACTGTTGCTTCATCGTAATTGTTTTCCCGTCGTTTTAAACCGTACTCGCGCAATTTTCTCTTAAGTGTTCGTATATGGATCTTCACACCATGATATTTGCCAAGTAGAACGACAATTGGGGTGTACTGGTAAACTCTATTGAAATAATCTTCAATTACATTTTTGATATTGTTTTGAGGATCGTGTAAGACATGAGCCGGAGCGCATGCGCAAGACAATAAAATTCGTATGGTTAAAAAAAACGGAAGTACGGAGTAAACAATCAGGGGGTTGGAGTTATGAGATTTACATGAACATTTCACATCAATTTGGTTGATGGGAGAGTTTAACTGATGCAATCTGGATTCTTTTTTCTGTTAAAGCAATCCATCATATTTGAAGGCTTTCGCACAGATATGTTTTTTAAAAAGCGTGTAGCATTGTTAGAATAAAGTTGTAGAATTTTAGATTTGGGCATAAAGCTAAAAAATGTCAATTGTATTTTTTAATGCAAAATTCATCAAAATTCATTGCCTAGTCCCTATAAATCAGCAGAATTTTGTCAATTCAAAATTTCTCAAACGTCATACCTAACCCTAACCCTATACCTAACCTCACCTCAGCTATAGTTCGATTCCTGCCGGAGGACCTGGGTTGCACTTTTCGCAGCGTCCCTTGTTTGTTCTTACATACAGTGGCGGCGCCAGGTTAAAATGAGTGGGGGGCAATTGGGGGTCAAAGAAATGTTTTGGGGGGAAAGACTAGAAAAGTATTTAAAAGTTAAAACAGTGTTACACTA